AGGCTTACCTGAAACCGAGAAAAGTCTGCCTGGCCTCAGATTTCCTTGCTCCTGTGCACTATGTAGAATGCCGGACACAGGTGCTGGAACAATACATATTTCTATGGAAGGATACCACCTCAGAATGGTTTTACCCAGACAAGGTGGCGTTCATGTAAAAAGGAAAGAAAAAGCATCCTCAGAATGACAAAGGTATAAAATATTCACATCCAAAAGCTGCTTGAAAAATAAATGATCCAAAGACTTACCTAGTTAGAAGTCAGCATAAAAATAAATAATGGTATAAAAATGCAAAGAGGAGCAAGAAATTGGTTATTAGTTCTTATCCTTGGCTTGGGCATCTAAGTGCTTAGGAGACTCTTGGTAGATTTAGCGATTGAGTGTTGGGCAGAGCTGAGTGTGTGCGATTACACAGGTGATCCTGAGGAGCAGGCAGGATTGGGAACCACTGCTCTACCAATTTTAATCAAATATGTACTGGACATAGATAACGGGAAAAGTGGGGATGTTGCCAAGGATATATAAAAAGGATCCCTTTATTAAATTTATGCTAACAGGTTTGAAAATATCAAACTTTTATAAGATATATAAAAGCAAATTCTAATAAATAAAAATGATTATTTCCCAATAGTAGGACTCAATTTTATGAAAATGTCTTCTTTCTCCCAATGTGTGTCTAATTTATACATAATTTCAGTCAAAATTATAATTGCTTATTCTTAGAAGTTGATAAAATAAATTGAAATTTTATCTAAAAGAATGAGCTGGTAACTTAGCAAAGAAAGTTTTGGAAACTGATATTGTGAAGGAGGCTTGTCCTACCAGTTGGTAGCATTTAATAACACAAAGTATTTGTACTAGTGAATTATGAATAGAAAGATAAAGGACACAGATAAAAAACAGGCCCCATATTACAGAAATAAAAAGGATAATTCATCACAAAGACATAATTGCTTATGTGAATAGTAACAAAACCTCAAAATGTATGAAACAAAAATCGACAGAATTGAAGGGAGAAACAGACAATTTCATAAGCATAAAATTTAATATCTCTATCAGTTCATAAACAACTAGTAGTTGATAGTAAAAACAAAATATGAATAACATTATCAATCATCTTAAATAATTGACATTTGTATTTGTATAATGTATTCAGTGACCTCAACAGAATTAAATGAGAAATCAATACAATAAGCCATTTAGGAAAGCTCTAAATATTTGGAAATTTTTGAAAAACATTGCTCTGTAATTCCTATGTCAAACACAAAATCACAAGGAGCTCAGAAAATAATTTGAACTGAATGGCAGCAAATACAGAACCACTACTTCTACTCTCAAAAGAGCCAAATGTATGTATCTTGCACTTTGTAGTAAAAGTTAAATGTCAGTCTATATTTGCAAAGAAAATCATTGGCAGTTTTGTGTTGATGATCCTGAACACAATCCAACATTTCCAGCAGAAAAAAAAAATTGCCCACATTTGACAGTGTCACATTGGGACTATCAGTTAACGTTAAAACAAAACCAAACCCAGCAAAACATACACACAACTGTTTCACACTGGTTAAAAAAAAAGTATTAAATATTTTCTGACCATAAAATTTATTTAAACTGGAAATAGGGCCATGATTTAACCTATTTATCAAAAGTTTGCTCTGATTTAAGAAGAGCCTATGTGATCAAGAAATGGGTTGAATGTGTTAAAAATATTGTACATCATAAAATAGGTTGGATGTATGAGTAGACATCAAGTAATTATAATTGGCTGTTAAAATATAAGTTTCAGCAGGAGACCCATAATGATAAATATCGGATACTAAATTGAGGACAAAGATACAAAATTTCCAGGAGAAATTTTGAAATCCAATTTTGATTTTTAAAGTCCTTTCCCACATCCTATGTAATAAAAGTGTAGTATGCAAATTGTTTCCTCGAACGGGAGTTTTTGCAGGAGTTTGACCAGGGGGCGGGACTGGCTGGGGGAAGGGAGAGAGTACCAGGCCAGCAGCTGCCAGCCGCTAGGGACCCTACCAGTGCATGAATTTCATGCACTGGGCCTATAGTTGAGGGAATAAAAGAATCTAGATGTTGGAGATTAAAGAGAAAAGTTCTTATGAAAGAGCTTTTCTTTGGAGAGAATTGTGCTGAGTCCTGCCCCATCCAGTTGCTTGACCCTTCATTTCAAGTTGAGATAAAAGGGCTTCAAGGACACAAGTTAATGACTTAAATTTTTCCTGAAGGCCTTGGTAGTCTGAATGAAGGTGGAGATGAAAAGCGGAAATCCTGTGGAAATGACAGAATGGTGATTTCAATGGCCATCTTGAACTCTCAGATTTTGTTTAGATAAAGATTCGTAAGTGTTTCCTATAGACTATGTTAGGCCATGGGCATCAAAGAGTCGAAATGAGATTGATTCAGGTCCTATTTAGTAGAGAAGTCTGGAGAACATGGGACCTCAACCCACTAAAACTGCTTTCTAGATGTTATACATAAGGAATGTGTGCAAGGCTAGCTTCATAGGTGTGCAACCTATGTCATGGCAAAGGGCATGCACTTGGAAGGGGCATGTTTGGTTAAATGGTGTGCTGTTACCATCTTGAAATTCTTAATTTCTTTAACAACTTTGTGTTTTAATTTTTTACCGGACCCCACAGGTTATGTATCCTGCCCTAAATGTATGACCTACATTAGGAAACTATGGATGAAGGGACCTCAGCAGTGGGAGTTGGCGTGGTCCTCTAAAGTTACCAAGCGCTCTATAGGGAAAGAGTAGTCTTTAAATATTCACCATCCTCGTTGGTAAGGCTAGCGAACCAGTCAGGTGGAATGTTCCTGCTCCTCTCACCTCCATCTTCACCATCTATCTCCAGTCCTTTCCAACCCAGAGAGGGCTAAAACACTTAGAAAGGGCGAGCAGATTTGGATAAAAAGAGTGGTTTTCATAAACTCTCCCTTCCCAAGTGGTGCATGTTAAACCTGCTGCAGAGCCTAGCCGGCTGGGGAAGGGAAGCTGGCTTAGCACTAAGCTGGATATTCTGATAGCCAAATGGAGACTGTTTTGTGTCTTAAAGTGACTATAAGACTTGTATTAGATAAAAGTAATTGGAAAAACCATGGGGCTTTCTCAGGTTTTCATCCAGGGCTGAGGGCTGAGTTACTTACATTAATACAAATTAAGAAACAAGTGAAAGACAAAAATGAAACTGCTTTTGAAATTGCATCTCTGAAGTGATACTTATTCGGTGTATTGATTACATAAGAATCTAGAAATATCAAATGTTTTTGATTCATAAACCATCTTAACTTTTAAGTTTCAAATGATGCTCTGAAAGCTAGCTTAGATTTAATGGTGAAATTGAACTTCTTGTAAATAACATCTCCTAACTGATGTAATTTGGTAACAGGAAAAAACAATGCCATTTGCCCTTGTGTTTGTCTAGTTGTTGGTTCTCTGACAGTGGTCTGAAAATGAAAAGTTTAGTTCAAAGTGGTTGCTTCCAAAGTGAGGAAATGTATGTAATATATCCTTAGAAAACACGCTTAACATTTTGACAGTTAAGCTTGATTTATAATAAAGTAATTTCATTTTCCACTAGCAGTGACATAGAATAATTTTTTTCTATGGGCTCTTCTAAATGACCTGAGTTGGGAAAATGTGACTAGTTTTCAATATATTTCTACTGCTATTTCCAATTTTATGTGAAGACTGTTGTAGGCTAATTATCTAAAATTGCATTTAGTGCCATGTGGATGTGCAATTAACTTTGACACTGATAGACTGACAGAGTAAAATGAGGTTGCATTCTTTTTTGGGATTCTATGAACTATATTTTAATGCCCTTCAGTGATGAGATATTTACATCTTTTTAAAAAGATATGTACTTTTTAGAATTGATTTGAGAGAAACAGAGGAAGGGAGAGAGACAGAGAAGGAAAAAGAGACAGACAGATAGAAACAGAGAGAAACAATGATTTTTTTTCCAGTTATTTATGAATTCATTGGTTACTTCTTATACATGCCCTGACCAGAGATCAAACCTGTACCTTGGTGTATCAGAATGATGCTCTAATCAACTGAGGTACCTGACCAGAGAAAGATATTTACATCTTCTTAAATTTTCTGGAGTCTTTTTATTTTTAAAAATATGTTTCCATTGATTTTTTTTTTTTGGAGAGAAAGGAAGGGAGAGGGATAGAGAGATGGAAACACTGATGAGAGAGAAACATTGATCGGTTGCCTCCTGCACTCTCCCTGCTGGGGGTTGAACCTGCAACCTGGGCATATGCCCTGAGCAGGAATTGTCCTGGTGACCTCTTGTTTCATAGGTCAATGCTCAACCACTGAGCAGCACCAGCCTGGCTCTGGAAGTTTTTTGTAATTGTTCAAACTTTACAAAAGAGATAGTCTAATAAAAGTTATTTCACCATTATTAGTAGTGTATGTCTTTTCTCTGTAGTTATATCTTTTGCATGTTGTGAATGTTGTGGATTTTTGACTAAAAAATTTCATGATGTAATTTCTTCTTTGGCAAATATCCTTATCAATTCTTTCTGGCTATACAAAACTTGTAGGAGATTTATATTTTGTGACTTGGTAAGTATTATGTGAAATATAACTTATATGAATGTAGTAGAGATAATTTTATTTTTGAACTTTTGGTAAAACTTGTTTTAACTGTTGATATTTCTAATTTTACTTTAAATTAGGGAAGGCTGCACCTAAAATTCAGTTCCTTGAAGGAGTGGACATCATGGGAAAATATATATTTGTATTATTTGTAATTTAAAAGCCAATTTAAAAGTACTGTAGACGGCAGTGGCATGCCAGACTACCAGGGATTGGGGACACATTCCCCTCCCGTCTTGCTCACCGCCTGACATCACACTTTAGCCATTACTCAGAACAGTTGTGAATACCTTTTGGAAAAGTAATCACAAAACCTTCTTATAAATATCTTACCTTTTTATTCCTTCAGTGCATTCCTCTGATTTTGTTTTAGGCTCGCAGGAAGGAGGTGTTTGTCCAGGAACGCTATGGAAGGTTTAATTTAAATGACCCGTTCCTGGCACTGCAGAGAGACTACGAAGCAGGTGCTGGCGATAAAGAGAAGAAGCCAGTCTGTACCAACCCCCTCTCCATCCTGGAAGCAGTCATGGGCCACTGCAGAAAAATGCAGGAAAGGATGTCCGCACAGCTGGCTGCTGCTGAGAGCAGACAAAAGAAGGTATTGAGACTTTTAAATGGTCATTTTCCCCAAAGTACGGTGTAGAAGGCAGAAGTGATCTCTGAGGTTATCCTTTGTTCTTAAATATTATACTTTCAGGAAGAGTTGGAATAAGTACTTAGAAATGCAAAATTCTGACCAATTCTGGTGGTGTTTCTGAAATGTCACTCAAAATTAAACAAACAAGCACAAAACACTAAACCAGAAAGGATATCTGATAAAGACATTATGTTTCCCATTAAGGTTACTTTAATACTTTCTTTAAAATAATAATTTTCCTTCTTTGAATTTCTCTTTTCTACTGCTATAAGACATGATTAACTGCTAGGTAGGTAATCCAGTAATGCAACCAGGAAGGACTCTGCTCATATGTGGTATCCCCAACTTACTTTATCCAGCTTCTGTCTCAAATATTTCTTTAAAATTAAAAATCGCTTAAATTATTTCTTTGGAAAGTGAAACTAGCATGAGGAGAAGTAGAATGAAAGTTTGCGTGCAATCTCACTACATGTCATCGTGAAGTCCTGGTTAGTCTCAGACTCGCCTCTGGGGTCTGATAGCTGTGTATGCTGCAGACCTCCAGGCTCCTGCTCACTCACATGCCTTTCATTTAAACCAACTTCCTCCCCACCCCGCGCCTCCCCTACCAGCACACACTTATTTATTGTGTATGAGTAGATGCTTCAGAGTCCTGAGTGATAAAAGCTTACTCTCATCAGCCATGCGGAAATAGAAGTTTAAAGTTTGTCCTTCCAGTATACAGACAAGCTATGAATTCCCTTTAGAAAAGAGAGTGAGGAAATTGTAGAAGCTAATGATGTCTAGTGTAATTAGAATTAAGAGCAATATGTTCTTTCAACCATCATTAAAACATAAAATGTTTCTATTTGTCCTTTTCAGAGAACTTGTTATAGCTTACATGTAACACCTGCTTGATAATCAACCTGAATGCACCGTATTGTAAATATTTATGACACTGTCATTGATGTGTATGTCTTTTCTCTGTAGTTATATCTTTCCATTAACATATGCATGCCAGTGTTCTGGGGTGGGGGTTGAGTAAAAGCAAACATTTTCATCAGGATGTCAAATAGTAAGAAAATAAAGAACTGGGTAAATTAGTAAAGAAGAAAGAATTGAAGGCTTTCCATGGATGTGAGGTGGAATCAAACAGTTTTACTTAGGATATTGCAAACCCTCTACAAAGCCCAGCAGACAACCACTGAGGCCTCTGGAAATTGTCAAAAATCCCCACAAACCACATAAGCAAGAGTTAATGTATTTTAGCTGATGTCACTGAAGCTCATTTGTATTTCTTGGATGATACACATTTCATTTATGTTCTGAACATGTTAAATGAGCTATTTCATCATAAAGTTTTTCTGCTGTGTTATCAGAAGTCAAGAAAATACTTTGTTTTCATTGTAGTTTTCACTTAATATACAAAAATGCATGCTTTCCTAAATTTTACTTCAGTTTTGCATTTTATCATTTCTCTTGTAGAAAAAGAAGAAACTCATTTTGAGATCAATGAAAGATTTTATTATCCAGCTTATTTTTGTAAATCAGCTTACATCCTGTTTGTTTCTGAATGGCTGGGTCATTTCCAACCTGGCTGGTAGTGAAAGGAAATCGTTTCTGTCCTGTGAGTCCTGACAGGCTAATATGAAATGAGCCAGTGATCTTTCGCTCACATTTAACAGGGATACAGTGGTTCTTTATGGCCGAATTCATTGGCTGTGTAGTCTCTGACAGGCAGCGCTATCTTCTGTCCCTAAAGGATAGTCTGTTCTGGTAGACTGTAGCATGTAAAAAGAGTTACAGTTTCTACTCATATCCTGAATCTTACAAAGAAAATATCACATCAAGTGATAAGGCCACAAAACAAAGAAGTCATCTTTTTAGCAATGAAACTACCTGTCATCTTTAGTTTTGAAAGTTTTTTTTTAATTTTTATATATTGAATTGAGAGAGAGAGAGAGATGTTGTTCCACTTATTTATGCATTCATTGGTTGATTCTTGTATGTGCCCTCACCAGAAGCAAACCCACAACCTTAACGTATTGGATGATGCTCGTAACTGAGCTACCTGGCCAGGGCCTGAAAGTATTTTAACCAGACATTTTCAGTACCCTTGCATATAAAGTAAATTGCAGCTTTAGAAATCTAAAATCAGTTAAGACAAGAAAAATCCATTACTTTCCATCAGTCCAGTTCTTTAAATTACTGTCCGATCAAAAGCCAGGGAAAGCAAAGGCCTTATTATCTACAATTCAAGTGTTTATTACCAGACACCAGGCACAGCTCATGGGTGATTCTAACACATTTGGCCTGAACGCTGCTCTGCTAGGCCTCTCCAGACGAGAGAAGGAGGCTGCTTGCTCATTCAAGCATTGGTTCCTGCTGAGACTCCTAATAGGAGGGTTATCTGGTCATTCGTGTGCCAGGAAAATTTGGGCAAGAATAAATTTGGGTAACGACGGAGCGCTTAAAGCCGTTTTGAATAAGCTAATGAGTAATCTCATGGGAAACTTTGCCTCCAGTAATCTCTACATTTCGAGCCTGTAACCTAGGTAGGTTAGAATGATATTTGGGGTTTTTATTACTTATCTTGTACATCATCTGTTCATAGAGTTTCTATCCTAATTTATTTTCAATCATTTTACTCACACTTAGAAAGTGTGAGTAATTTCTAACCCTAAAATAAGAGAGACCTTATAATTTGAGCAGAGCCTTTAAAAGTAAGAAGCGAAGATAATAACTAGGAAATTCCGAAGGGAGCAATATTTTTTCCACCAGTGAAAAAACAAAGTAGTTAGCTCTGTGTATTGGGTATAGCTTCTTCTAGGTGGCAGCTCAGCGTAATGAGGTCAGTTGCATGTCAATAGATGCATCAGGAAGGGTTTTAGTTGTGAGCAAATGAAGCCAATATTGATTGAGTTAAGCAGAAAAAGTGTTTATTGGTTGTTTTACATTATGGTAGAGCCTGGCTGGGCCAGCTAGGGGACCAGCTCTTAACCAGCCAGCATCACCAACAAATGCTCATTTAGATCCAGTCTGAGGTGGGTGATGTTTTTGCTCATGAGAGCTGGATACTGCAGCTGGCTGACTCCAGACAGCACCACTGCCATCACTGCTCTGGGTCTTGAGTGGCGCTTCCCTGGCCCTGCTTCTTTGCATCCCTCATTTCCTACTGGAAGCCTAAGAACAGGTGCATTTCATTGGTCAAACCTAAGCTCCACACCCTCTCCTCAGCTACAAGGGAGACTGGGAAAGCTCCCCTACGTTGGACATATTTCACTTTTGTGGGGAGAATAATAAGGGGAGAGAATTCTCCCTAACAGGAAGCAGTTTCAGGTGCTAGACAACCAAAGAAATGACAGTTGAGCCAGAAAAGAATAATCAAGTTGTTCTAATTTCTTTCATAGGCTCCGTCTTCCTATTACAACTCATTGTACTGCACTGCCACTTGTACACAGTGCTCTCTACTTCATTACATAATGGTTTATAACATATAATTTAATTTTAAATTGCTTCCTAGACTTTCATTCAAGGACAACATGGTAGAGAACCATCTAAAATAACATTTTTAGGAAGAGTATTTAGGACATTTTGTAAATGAGTGATTGTTTTTAGCTCATTCCTGAGTCTTTTTTTTGTATGACTCATTGTTACATTTCAACATGTATTTGACTTCCCAGACACATTGCAGTGAGTGTTAAGAGGGAGCTGGAGATGTGTTTTATGCTCCCTCTCAAATGGGATATTTTCTTTTGCTCTATTTTCAAATTCATTGTCCTTTATAACTCTACTCTCTCAAGTCTGCTATTTAAGCCCATTCAATTAACTTTTTTTCATTTTATTTTTATTTTACTTTTATTTTTTAAAGTTTTTACTTATTTCAGAGAGGAAGGGAGAGTGAGAGAGATATAGAAACATTAGTGAGAGAGAGATAGGCTGCTTCCTGCATGCCCCACACTGGGGACCAAGCCCAAAACCTTGGGCATGTGCCCTGACCGGGAATTGAACCGTGACCTCTTGGTTTATAGGTCGACACTCAACCACTGAGCCATGCCAGCTGGGCAACATTTTTTCATTTTATTATGCTTTTTAGTTCTATTTTTTCATTTGATTTTTTTTTCTTAGTTTCCATTTCTATGCCAAGATTCCCCTTCTGTTCTATCATTGTGACCATATTTTCTTTGACAATGGCTGCTTTAGGGTCCTTGTCTGCTAATGCCAATATGGATCATCTTGGACACAGTTTATATTTGAGTACATTTATTTTGACAACGGAGACCACTTTGAGTTTATTCATGGGTATGGTATAAGTTGGTGGTCTAGTTTCATTGTTTTGCATGTACCTGTCCAGTTATCCCAACACCATTTATTGAAGAGACTGTCTTCACTCTATTCTATGCTTTTGCCTTCTTTGTCAAATATTAATTGAGCATAATGGCTTGGGTCGATATCTGGCTTCTCTGTTCTGTTCCACTGATCTATATGCCTGTTCTTGTGCCAGTAGTAGGCTGTTTTGATTACCGTGGCTTTGTAGTAGAATTAGATATCTGGTATTGTAATCCCTCCAACTTTGTTCTTCATTCTCAAGATTGCTGAGTCTATTCAGGGTCTTTTTTGGTTTCATACAATTTTTGGAGTATTTTTTCTAGATCTGTGAAATATGCCACTTTGGTATTTTGTTGTGTTTTTTTTTTTTATTGCTGCTTCAATTTCATCAGTTGTCATTGGCCTATTCAGCCCATTGCTTTTCATTACTTTGTATGCTTCATGCCACTCCATCGGCCTGAAGTGTTTCCTTTGATAAATCAGCTGGCGAATTGAGAAATCAGCTGGGGATGTCCCATGTAGGTAACTTTCTGTCTCTTTCTTGCAGCCTTTAATAGTCTTTATTTGTTTTTAATGTACACCATTTTAAAAATGATGTATAGTTGTGTGTCCTTTTGGGTCCATTTTGCTTAGGACTTTGTGTTTCCTGAACT